CCCCCCCCCACCACCAGCCAGAACGTTGTATCGATGTTCGTCGAATCGGCATAGACTCGTCGAAAAATTCATTGTTTCGACGTATCTTTGGACCTCTGGTTCGACCAACGACGTCGAAATGACGGCGTTACGACAAGCCATTTCTGGCTGGGCCCTTCCCCGTCCCCACGCTGAATAGAGCACATATTTTTAGACAGTCCCAGATTAGGGTAAAGAGATCCCCCCCCCCCCCCTCATTGTCTCCGATGTGAGCGGTTGGAGCGCTCGCTTGTGGTGTTTTCCAGGTTTTGGCAAGCCGCTGCACTCAAAGCTGCTCCTAGAGTGGAGCGCTGGAAAAAGATTTTTGAAAGTGAGAATGCAATAGTGCGGAAAAGTAGCCCTATCCGATGATAAATCGAACCCAAGTTTTACTTTTGAAATCGGTTAATATTTTCCGATCCCGCTGTGTTTAAAGTTTCGCATGGGGCTCTATGGCAAAAAGGGTCAAAAAGTTAAATTTCCAATGCAGCGAACATTCTTTTAAAAACGAATTTCGGAAATCTAGACTAATTAAAAATATGCGTCTGCTGACGTGCCACACTTGAAACTTGAGTAAGAGTTCGGGTTTGGTTTCATGCGCAAATTTAGCCGTTAAGCCATTTTTGTTTCGAGTTAAATTGGCACCCGAACGGCACAGTTACCTTGAGTGAAATTACAAGACTCGTTTTTTCAGTAGTTTGCATTCCCAAAATCCGTTTTTGAAAAATGTTCGCTGGAGGGCCGAAATCGGAAATTTTTAATATTTAATTTTTTTGCCATTAGAGCGCCATGTGAAATTTTGAACACTCTGCGTGATTGGTAAATGTTAACCGATTTCAAAAGTCAAACTTGAGTTGGATTTGTCATCGGATAGGGCGACTTGTACCTGGACAAAAAGGTGTGGTTACTTTTCTTAGCAACACCTTTCAAAAGTGACTGTTTTCAGTCGGGATGTTTCTGAGATTTTTATCAATTTTGGTCCATGACAACATGTTATGTTAACACGTGCCTAGCTACATGACCTCTATGTAGTCGTCGTTTATGACAAAAACATAAAGAACTTGAGAAGATAGAAAATTTAATAGGCAATAAATTGGACATGCTCGAATCAAACATCAACTAAAATAAATATATGTATATAATGCAGATATTATAAGACTGGTGTCATTACTACTAGATCAGGTACAATCACCGCGAAAAGAATTGAACTCCTTCGAATCCGGATATTGCTATCTGAGGAGCTCAAATCTTGTTGCGCTGAGAGGGTACATGGAAACCCCTATGCACTTTCTTGGTTGTACTTTACTGTAACTGTAAAACTATATAAAAGTGCAGAGTTTTCCAGCCACTCGGTACTTTGAACTGACGAGATGTACAGTGTGGTCACCCAGCCCAATAGTAGCAAATGGGTACACAGTACTGGCCCGTGCGCAGGCGACCTTAGCTATCGTTAAACCACCTTACGCCTTACGGCTCCGTGCCCATGGGCAGCGAGCGCGCGCCCTTGCGCTCCAACAGAGCTGGGTGACCAACCTGAACATTACAATTTTAGACCTTTGTTTAGTGATAAAATTAAAAGAATAATACAAATTGCAATCTTAAATACAATGAAAGACATTGTAAAGAAAAATATAATTATCACCTATGGTCAGCAAGTAAGAAATCACATTATCAGCTTTGATACTTTTAAAAATTTAACTGCCATTTCATGGATGTGGAGACATAAGGACACTTGGTTCTTACTGAATCAAAAATAGACTATAAGGTGGGTGCTCCACAACCAGCACTTTGAGATAGAGAAAGTGCTGGGCATCAACCAACAACCTTTACAACACAAGATTATCATTGTCACTAGACATGCATTAGACACTAAATGTTAGACGATACTAATCTACTTAATTTAATTAAGTAAGTGAAGAACATTTCACTTGATAAGAGTTATTTCTTTTAAATATATCAGTCCTAGAGTACAAATAAAACACAAATTACTTGCGTACACAAACACAAGTATACGCAAATTACTGGGAGACCTTAGGTAAGTAAACTGATTACAAACAGATTTTTATTAGTAGGTATTATTGATACGGCTGAGGCAAGACTGCCACATTATCAATTATTTCTATTAACGGAGTAGAAGGCACTCCTGGCAGACTCCATTCCACTGACTTCACCTCCTCCCATTTCCGAATGTGGTCCTTCAAGTGCTGAGCAACTTGAGGATTAATGGCAGTTATCTGAAATCCACAAAAGAATAAGTAAAAAAATATCAAAAGAAGTATTCAACCTCTCAAAAAACAAACTTAACTGACCATAAATGATGAGTAGGGTGAAGCTTCTACAAATTCCTGTTTTATTTTCTTTGTCGGTGGTTCAAGGGTTTTCTGACCCTTATCTTCCTTCTTCACCTTCATTTTTCGTTTCCCGGCGGGATCAGCCATTATGGCTTCCTCCCTTTCCTTGTCCCGCTTGGGGCAGGAACAAATTTTCACCCCAACAATCTGTCTGCCGAAAACTTCTCCACTGCAGAACAAGAACAGAAAGTGGTTTTTACTACTTCTCATACACAGAACTAACCAGAATTAAATAAAATCATTAACAAAAGGTATCATTTAGCAAATATACTTACGCCATGTTTTCCAGGGTAAAGATAACATCCGTGGGTGAACGATTAAGGCCCCCCGTGCAGGAGGTTTTGCACATAAACTTGTAATTAACAAGTATGTGGTCGCATCCGTGTTGCAGGCTGTTGAGGGGTACTTTTACACTGTGCCTGTTAGAGGATTCATTGACCTCATAGGAGGCATTGTCATTCTCTGTGGCTAGCACATGCTCACTGTATTGGTAGTCTAGAAAAAAGTAAATAAATAAAGAATAATATTTGAGTTAGATGATACCAACTACATTTTCTATTGTAGATAAATCCAATATGATACATGATAAAATACAGGAAAACATACTGATATTTGACGGGTCATCCACGTGCTTGTGGGTGAGGCAACGACGCACAGGGTGTTTGAGATTATCAGCCACACTGAACATCATTAAGGCTCTGACACACAAACCAGGCTGCCCATCCCATTTGATTTGAAAGGGCACCACCTTGCCCATATCAACAAATAACTTGTTGAGCTTGTGCGAGTACTAGAACATAAGAATAAAATTTATTACCATGTAAAGTTATAAAAGACATAATAGACAAAATAAAAATATCATCAACTTACAACATAGTGTTTTTTGTGCATACCCGTCAAGTCAACCTTGACATCGAAAAAATGCACACCCGCCCACTCATTCCGCACAGGTAACTCCCCAGTGGGATCTACCACAATTGGCAGATGATCAGTCCACTCATGTGCACTCTACAAAAAAAGTCTAGTTACTAACTGGGATTTCATGAAAAAAGCAGTAACAGAACAACAAAACAAACTCACATTGACGAGGGTATCTATCCCTGGCTCGCCCCTGCACACATAAAAACAAAGGAGATGTAAACAAAACGTTTGGCGATGAAATTACATAAAATTAGAGAAGAAAAATTAAACTGGGGTCATGTGGAAAAGATGAATGTTGGAAGCAATAGCAAAGAACAAAACCAATATCACAAAGTTGCCACTCGGTCAAAACATAGTTATTATAACTGTTCCTCAATATGAGCTATGCCTCCAAGGCCCCATCAAACAAATGACATACCTGAATTGATTCGAAAGTGAATTGAATAAAACGTAAAGCAACCAAGGACATAATTTTATACTTAAAATGACAGGTTAAAGAGGTGCAAGGTAAAACGGCGGAAACCTTTAACGAGGTAACGCTTGATAGTGGCCAAACTTACAAAATCATCTCGAAATCTTCTTGAGGACATATGTCGCTTTCCTGCGACTCCATTGTAGTATAGCAGCTTTGTTTCTCCAAGTGCCTCCTCCAAACGTAACCTGTACGACATATGCACAAAGCGACCGGCGGTCAGAGGGAATGTTTGGAACAAACTAATCAGGCGAGGAATCATGTAGCAATGTACATACACTGGACGGGTAACTCTACTGTCACACCTTCAAGCTCTAACGACAATTAAAATGCACCAGTCAAAATACAGGAGTCCAAACAATACAAAACGGGTACCACGAGTAAATTCACCACACGCACGGCGCGGCACCGACCGACCGAACCGACAACCGACGACAGCCGAGCCGACAGCGATACTTACGTCTTCGGTGGGTGTCACGTGACTACCGAAGCTGGCTTTCTGTCGGTCTATCTGGCGCTCTGATTGGCTACTGCCCGGCGCCAACCGGACCCGTTCGGCTTCAAACCCGAAACCCGAAGACAAAAGTACCTCCCCGACCCCGCACGCAAAACGCCTTAAGCCAAGAATCTGAGCGACAGGCGAACGTTGTTTATTTGTGTTTAAAGAAAGCAGCTCAAGCGAAGAGGTCTTTTCGTTGGTCTTTGTTGATCTCCGTTCTCTTTTTCAAAGAACTTTTAACCGTGTAACCGAATATTCCCGCGCGACAGCTTCTCCCTACTGACAGCATTTCACATCAACTTGACAAACACAAACATGCTTACCGTAACGCTAATATTGCGTTGAGAGTGGTCAATTACTGACTAAAAGTAACTGGGAGATATTTATTTCACTCAACGCATTGCCGTTGTAGAGGTAAAAGACAGACAAAATCGCAAAAACTGCTCTCTGTCGGTCTTGCGACGTTGGCTCTTGCATTGCAGCCGAGTCGTGTTTCTTCTGTTCCCTCGCCAGCGATCGGCCAATCAGAGCGCGACACACGCCCGATGACGGCGACGGCACCCTTCACTTGGAAGACGAGCTCTGGCAGTGGTTGTCGCTACTGCTTGTCGTGAAGTGTAAGTCGCCGGTCGTGGCTGTCATCTTTGTGAGAGTACTGGTGCGTTGGCACTAGCACCGAGGCAGGAGTGGAGCATTTTAATTCACCAAAACCCGCAGTTCTCTTACAGGACACGATAAAATGGCGCTCAGCCTGTGTAGGCTCGCCGTGGCACTTTGCGCCCTGAGTGCGGTCGCTGTGGCCGACTCCGTCCTGGACTGGGGAGACAGCGACTTCTCCACTGTCATCAACGAACATGACACCGCTCTGGTCATGTTTTACGCCCCCTGGTAAGCGCTTTTCGCCTGGTTGAGTTGTGGGGGCGCCGGCGGGTGCACCAGCCCCACCGGGACCGGGACCACCATTGACACATACCGGTTACAGGTGCGGCCACTGCAAACGGCTTAAGCCCGAGTATGAAAAGGCGGCTCAGCTCCTGGTAGGCAACGACCCCCCGATCGCCATCGCCAAGGTGGACTGCACTGAGGCTGGCAAGGACACTTGCGGCAAGTTTGGAGTGACTGGCTACCCAACACTCAAGATCTTCCGTGGAGGCGAAGTCTCCCAGGACTACAATGGCCCACGAGAGGCTTGTGAGTTTACCCTGATGTTGCACAATGTTTCTTATTTATGACACCTATGTCTACTAACACTATGTTTTGCAGCTGGCATTGTCAAATACATGAGGGCGCAGGTTGGACCAAGCTCTGTTGAACTGTCCGCTGTGAAGGCATTTGAAGACTTCATCGCGAAGTCAGATGTTGGAGTTGTCGGTTTCTTCCCTGACAACTCTGATCTCAAGTCCACTTACCTGAAGGTTGCTGATAAGCTCCGTGAGAAAGTACGCTTTGCCCATACATCAGTTAAGGAAATTCTCGACAAGCAGTCAATCAAGTAAGTTTAGATACTATAAATTATAGTCCCATACATTTCGGTACTCACAATTTACCTGAATGCTGTACACTAAAATTCCTTTCACTGCCAATCTGATGGAATGTTTGCTATATTATTAAACTTCAGGTCTGACTCCATTTTGCTGTTCCGTCCACCTCAAATGCAGAGCAAATTTGAGCCTAATACTATCACATATGAGGGTTCTGCTGACAAATCTGGTCTGGAATCCTTCATCAACAAGAACTTGTAAGCTATCAATGGTTGTTACCCATATGTAAGCCCTATGGTGTTGATTCCCTGACTGCAACATATTTCGCATTTTTTTTCAGCCATGGGCTTGTTGGCCACCGTCAGAGAGATAACATGAATGATTTCAAGAGCCCTGTTGTAATTGCTTATTTCAATGTGGACTATGCCAAGAACACGAAAGGTAGGCCTTGGACCTTGAATCCTAGAAAATATGCAGTAAAAATTGTTATATCTAAACCTTTTTTCCTTTCAAAGGTACCAACTACTGGAGAAATCGTATTTTGAAAGTTGCTCAGAACTATGCTGACAGCTTCACATTTGCCATCAGTTCTAAGGATGATTTCCAACATGAACTCAATGAATTTGGAATTGATTATGTTCCTGGTGACAAGCCAAAGGTTGCTGCCCGTAATGCCAAAGAGCAAAAGTTTATCATGAAGGATGAGTTCTCGTAAGTCAACTTGTTTCTGTGATAATGACCATTTAGGTAATCTCCTTGCTGGATAAATACATGTAACAATTCATTCTTTCTAGTATGGAGACATTCGAACAGTTCCTGAAGGACCTCAAAGCTGACGCCCTTGAACCATTCCTGAAATCTGAGCCTATTCCTGATGACAACAGTGGTCCTGTAAAGGTTGCTGTAGGCAAGAACTTCGATGAAATTGTACTTAATAATGATAAGGATATTTTCATTGAGTTCTATGCTCCCTGGTGTGGCCACTGCAAGAAACTTGCACCCATCTGGGATGAGTTGGGAGAGAAGGTGAGGATGTCTTTTCATAGCTTTTCTTCTAAAACCTTATTGACACTTGTGTTAATGTTCTTTCTTCTCAATCCGCTGTAGATGAAAGATGAGGATGTCGAAATTGTGAAGATGGATGCCTCTAACAATGATGTGCCAAGTCCGTTTGATGTCCGAGGCTTCCCAACACTTTACTGGGTTCCCAAGGATAAGAAGTCCAGCCCTGTGAGATATGAGGTATGTTACACAATTAATTCATCTTTTTGAAAACATCAGTTCTATTGTTTAGTAACACTAATATTGTTTTTCTTTCAGGGTGGCCGAGATGTCGAAGACTTTGTTAAATATGTTGCTGAACATGCAACTGACGAGCTGAAGAGCTTTGATAGGAAAGGAAAGGCCAAGAAAGAAGAATTGTAGTTATACTTAAAATTGATCAAAAACGAATTTTAATTTTTAGGGTGTGATTGGTTGTGTCATTTGTTGTACCATGTCGTTGATCTGATCTGTCTTTGTGCTGGCATTGCTAAGTTCTGGTCAGATGTCTGCAAATTTTAAGTCCTCATGATAAGCAGTTTCCTGCAAGTGATATTCCTTTTAGTGGATACTTTTTATATCATTTCCACTTATTTCTTTTAAAGAAGAAATGTTCGTTCCAACTAATGTGACTGATAATATAATGAATTTTTAAATTAATCCAGTTTATTTATAAGTTGTCCTTGTTCCTTTGAACTATTCTGAATGTATTGGTTCTAATTATCCATATCACATCAGAATTTTGTACCTGTTGCTGTCTCATTAAATGTCAATTCCATTTAACTCTGGCATTGGATAACTCTTGATACACAACACCATCCGAGCATAGTGCTAGTGTGCAAGCAAATCATCACATGATGGCGAAATTTACACGCTAATTATCCATTCTTTTCAAATCTGTTACAGCATGTTAGTACATTTCAGTTTCATTAAATTGAAATATCTAGTGATGGTGTGTTAACTTGTCTCATCTAACAATGATTCTCAAGGAAGATTTCTTATTTTAACTTAAAGCTCCTTGAGCATAGTGAAAATCCAGTTTTAATGACCAATAACAAGGCCCAACCCTCATTCCAACTCTAGCGCAGGTTAAAATTGCCAATGTTTATGCAGTGCTAAACTATCAGTAAGGTTTAAAATGAACTGAAGAGAGGAGATAAAGAGTAAGGCAACTTAAAACGTTACTTTTTTTTATTGCTTCTAAGGCAATTGAATGAATAAAAGAAGTGACCTCAACAGACCAAATTGATCATTTGTCATTTGATTCTCAGAAAGTAGGAATATTGCAATCAGCAGCACTCTAAAACTCTTTAAATAAAAATTGCAAACACTCACAATATCGTTATCACAGCACATTATTTTTGAGTACCAATTTCATTTAAAAGCAGACAATGTACTGCAGTTTGTAACAACACATCTAACAAGGTAGATTTAAAAGAGCTTAAAACTGTTATTAAAATGAGAAATTACCTCCTGAGATCAAGGCTTAACTGCCTAATTTTACAGGGCAGGCAAATTTACACTAAAACGTAAGGTAATTGCCTAAGGAGATTAGTAACATTCACCTGAGGGGTACCATTAAGTAAATACTAGTTCAACATACATGAGAAAAATGTCATAGGCTGACAATAAATAGCATAAGGGATGAGACATCACTGGGGGAATACATAAGTAGTAGTTATGTTACTGTTCTATCTAGCTGAGCTTTTGACTTCTTCTAGTCTTCGGCGCAGTGCCTCACGGTTTGAAAGCTCACTTCGTGGAGAGCTGGTAAACTGTAACAAGGAAACTCATTGTAAGGAAAATGGAAGAAACATTATGAAGGTACACCGATTGCAATGAATGAAACTTCACACACCTCATTTGTGTTTCCAAGAGCTGAGTTGAAGTTGAGGTTCTGGTCTAGTCCAAGTTGAGTTTCTAAATCCATTGTGAATTCTTGTCTCCCAGATGCTGTAGGCAACGCATTAGACACCTCGTCAAAGCCAGCACACTGCTGCAGGGTGCGCAACCTTTCAATGTAGTATTTAGGATCGACTGACGCATCCTTCGTCTCCTCTGCTTCAGATACACTGCTAGCGTTATCAACCACAGCTTTGAAAGGGCTGGAGGCACCAACAGCATGTTTAAGTGCAGATGTGGAGCTGCCAGCGTGTCGCCGACGCTCAAGTTCAATGGCTTGCAAGTTCCTCTGAATGTAGTCTTGGAAGAATTGAGTAGATTTCTGGAGGAATGGCTCAATACTTGCGTCCGAGTGCTTCTCTTTAAACTCATATAAAAGACGCAGGCCCTTGGGGATTGCAAGTTAATTAATGCAGGGGAAATCATAAATAGGTCATGAAATAACAAATGAGAAACAAGTGATGTTTGCCATTCCAGTCCAGCTTAGCTGAGTGAATATCAACATACCTCCTGTGTGTGTTCCTTAGATCCTATTTTCTTAAAAATATCTGCTAATATTTCATGGGTGTCCTTTGATAGTCGTTGCTGAGATGATGACTTCTCTTCTTTTGATTTCTGGTCATCTTGTTTAACAGTCTGAAAAAACAAAGGGATGCAATTATAATGATAATGAAATTGATATACAGTATAATTAATATGATAACAATGTATTCATACTTTGATAAACTTATTAACATAGATCGGCAATTCTGAATCAGCAGGCTCACTGATACACTTCATATGATGTAATACTTTATTGCCTCTTTGTTTCACCATAGCATGAAGGAGAGTTTTCACTGTTCTCAAAGGCACATCAGACTGACTGTGTTTCCACATACGGGTTGGGTAGGACTGCAAAAGATACAGAAACTATTAGAAGCAAGTGCACTGACCACAAATTCTTAGGTTGGGTTTGCTTTTGAAGCCGAGCTAAAGTGAAGTCTTTTGGTAGGTAAAATAATTCATTTTTTTGTAAACCAACTTACTTGAAGGAAACAGTGAATGTCATACATAATGGGGTCGTAATCAATATCAGGCTCCCAAGATGGAAATGAGCGAACAACTTTCCAAATGCATTTCATGATCAATTCCTGCATTTTGGCAGGCCACTGTTCCCCTTTTTCAACAGACTCATGCAGAAGTTTTAGTAAAGCACTGAAAATTAAAAGGAAAATCACATTACCAAAATATTCATCTGAATAAAAACGAAAGAGGAGAAAAAACACTTACCATGTTACTCGAGTATGATCAGCCTTATCAATTATTACCATCACAAGAATGTTAACGATTTGCACAAAATTATCAATATCTGACAAGCCATCTAAGCGCTTCTCTGCTAACATCCTCACCATAACCAGAACAGAATCTTTCAGATCAGTCATAGTCACATGTTTGGCAAGTAAGGGCTGGCTATAAAAAGTATGCAAAGTGCCAAAAATCGCTCGCAAAACCATGGTTTGTTCTTCCTTAGAATAAACAGTATTGCACAACGTCACAGTTCGCAACTGAGTGATGCAACTAGACATGAACTGGTCCACTCTTGGTACCAATACATTTACTTTGTCAGACCTCATCACATGCTCCACTTGAACTAAAGTGTCTTTACATTTGTCCATATCAGGGCCAGCAATGAGGCTTATAGCACGGTCCAAAAGATCTTCAACTGGATCTCTGGGCTGAGTCTGCTTTTGGAAACGGGCTAAATTGAAATCCTTTAGCACGTCAGGCAGAGGGGAAAGTTTTGGAGAATTCTGAATATTTAGAGCATTCATAACCCTGCTTGGAGTTTCTCTGTTAGAATTTCCTTTTAGCATTAGAGGAGAGCACTCTTTCACATTTTCTGATCCTTCAATCAAACCAGACAAATCAACATTGATTAATTTTGGAGCATTGCTTGTAGGTTTTTGAGTCTCCATTCTTTCAATAAAGTCCATATCCAGGCCATAGGGACCAGACACAGGTCTTGGTTTTACCTCAGGAATAGGCTCTTGATTTTCAATTGCCTCTTCTTCCTCTTCTTCAGGTTCTGGCGTCTCCTCCTTAACTTCCAGTTTCATGCGCGGAGGAGATATTGGCGTTGGTTGAGATGTTGGAGCCAATGAAGGTCTGACAGGGTTAATGGATGGTCGGGCCACTGTCTTATTCTTCCCTGCCCTTTTAATGCGTTCTTCCAACAATGACATATCTTTGTCAGATATGTTACCAACCATTTTATAGACTTTCTCACCTTCAATGAAATAAGCCTGCACTACGCAGTTTAAGGCAGCATTACGAACAGCATTGTCACGGTCAGAAATTTGTTTGGCGACTTCTTTTAGTGCAGCCGCTGCAGATGGTACACATACAGTAATTCCATAATTCTCAATTAAATATCCAAGTTCTTCCAAACATTCAGTTCGCTGTCTTGCATTCTTTGACTTAAGTCCATCCATGATGAGGGAGAACAAACGACTAACAGAGTAAACTTGACCAATTAGCTTAAATAGTGCTCTTACAGAGTGTCGGACAGCATCCTTGGGATCTCCAACCTAGACACAAAGAGGGTATGAGTTTTCACATTGATATTAACAGCACTTAAGAGTGCAATGAAGAAACTTTACCTTCAAAATAAGATAAGGAATGAAGGAGGTAGCCTCAGTTTCTAGCATGCTGTAATTATCCTCTATCAGCATGTTAAAAACTGTCTGCACATACTCCAACCCCTTCAATAGAACTGATGGATTTGTATCAAAGAAACGCAGAGTCATCCATTTGAGAATTAGGTCCAAGTTGCAAGTCAAGGCTTTTCCATTATAGGGTAGATCCTTAAAAGCAATAGATGGATTAGAAAATGTTTCAAATACATCTTTAGAACCAGTGTCAATATTGCATTACTAACTTCAATAAGCATATCTATTGCCTTGAGATGGTACTTAAAGTCGGCATGGAACATGTTAGCCATGAGATTCTTATTAAAGTTTGCTGTAGTCATTTGGTCTCGTAGGAGCTCAACAAATTCATCTCGAGGTGTCATGAAATTCCATTTAAGGACCTGTTCACATTGAAATGTTGACATTAGGTTTTATTGTGTACAAACTGACCCAAGAATAATGAGCAGCAGACAAATTACCTTTAATTTTTGCTCATCAATGCAACGCTGATTTTTCAAATTGTTCACTTGAACAAGAGGGGAAGTGTCAACATCTTCATCCTTCTTTCGGGTAGTAGGTTTTGGTGCAGACCCCGGCTTTATAAATTAAGAAAATAAATGTGTTAGGACAACTAAGCAGACTTATAATTACTGAAATCACACTGAAATGAATTAAGTCTACTGCTACCTTTGATTTGGTGATTGTCTTAGTGCCACTGGAAATAGTGGCAATTTTGGAATTAGGGGATTTAACCGACTTTGGCCCAGATTTGGTTGCAAGTTGATCATCACTATGAGAGGCACTTATTCCTTTAGCTTTGGTGGGAGCCGGTTTGGCGGGCAAATTAGCTCTTACTTTATCAAGATGTTGAACAACAACACTTCGAGACCCAGGCTAAAGACAAAGTACAGTAGTGGATTATATTAAATGTTAAAATGCGCATACAGGAAGCAGGAAGACAAGAATTATTGCAACTTACTTTCAAGGATGAAGTAGCTTTAAGCATACCTTCATACCCGACATGTATCATTACACCAAGAGTAGCTTCTTGGGCATTTTTGCGAACATCAGCATTTCGATCCTCCAAGTTTGAAAACAGATATGGGAGACAAACAACTAACTCATCCTTGGGCACCACTTTAACTACAGTAGAACAAAATATTAAACCATAAGCAAGGATATCAACATATATTAATCAATGTACAGCAAAAGTTTGAAGCACTTACTCAATGGCAGGCGTTCTGATAACCAATTCCACAGCTCTACTCGCAGAGCTGGTGAACCACTCTTCAAGGCATCTGCTATCATTTCACCCTCAAAGAACTCTTTAAAACTACCTTGTTCCCCAAATGTGTTAATGCAAGCAACTGCTGAGGACCTGATCCATTGCTATAATTTCAAAACAAATGGGTCAAAAGACAGCTTGGAAAAGAAATGGACAGTGACAAAAGAGTTTGGACACACACCTTGCTATCGCCCATGCACTGCAGCAGTCCTGGAAAGAATGTGCGAGTATGCTGCCGGCAAGCTGTACCACTTGCAGTGGCAATAGTTTGACAGATAGTGATTGCAGTGGCAGCAATCTTTGCATTTGAATCTACCAAACGTTGAGCAAGCACAGGAGGAAGCTCACCCAGATTGCCAGTGATGAATCGGGCCTCTGCCAGTATATTGGTTACTTTCTGAAGTGCTTCATTTCTCACCTACAAAAAGTGACTCATTATCAATTTACCTAATATTATCACAAATAGAACAACTGATAAAAGAGAAATGCAAAACTCACCTTCCAATTTTTATCTGCTAGTTCTGAGATTAAAGCAGAGTTAAGCTGTGGACTAATGTCAACTCGAGGAAGCAAATCTTGAACATTGACTGTTTCTTGAACTGCTTCAGCTTCCCCATCATCTCCTGCATCAGACTCTACGGCCTTTGCCAGTCCTCTTGTAGGAGTAGGAGGTTTCTCACCAGCGTGCTGTAGGCAGATGTAATGTCAAACCCACAGGTAATGCAAGTTAAGAAAATTGTAGGTTTTTCATTTATCAGATTAATTCCCACCTTTTCAAATTCCGCATTTATTTGCTGAACTAATGCTGGTTTTTCATTTTCAAAAAACAAAGCAAGCTGAGGCCCCATGAAAAGGTAAAGTGTGCCCAAAAGTGAAATGGCTGAGGTTCTGACGGCTGGATTTGTTGCTGAAAAGGCTTTCTTCACATTTTCAATCAGAGCTTTGGGTTGAACACTAGAGAGTTGAAATTAAATATTAAGAAAAAAAGGATGTACATATCATGAACAAGTGAGGGACACTACACTGTTTCATAGAACTTACACAAACCCAAATTCAAGCAATGCTTGCGAAAGCCAGTTGAGAGCTTCTTGCTGCACTTTAGGACTCTTTTGCTTGTTAAAAGCATAATCTATAACTTCTGTGGCAACATGATCCAATTTCGTAGCTTCAGCCAAAGCAGTCAACACTTCAGCAGAAACAGTACCATTTTTGGCATCACCAAGTTTTTCTGCTACATCAGTTAATATGTAGCTAGTTGTAATTCTGGGAAAAAAGAACAAAAATTTATAATTTTTGGGGCTTGTTTGGTTGTTTGGGATCAAGAAATACTGGGTAAAAATACTTACGTTGTTATAGTGAAGTTTTCAGCAATGAACTTCACAGCTTCAAGCTTCGCTTTTAAAACTTGGAAATTTGTGTCCTTTAGACCAGGCTTTTTATGTAAAGTACGAACCAAAACTTGTGTTTGAGCATCACTCTTTTCCATCATTTTAATTGTCTACAGGGAATGAAGTGAAGGATTAGGTACATTTACGTTTAGAAACCCAACCACTCAGACATTTAGATACTCAGTGCTTAATTATTTACCCGATCAAACTCCTCAACTGCTGCAAGACGGTTCTTCCATACATTGTCCAGAAGCCCACTTAGTATCTCTGAAGAAAATAATTCAGATGCCTTCTCATCAATCTCTTCTTGACTTAAATCTTTTTCTTGAGGCAACTTGCTTTCCTTAATGTTTTTGGCTAGTAAAACAAAGAGAAAGTTTACATGAGAAAAAATGCATATCCCTGACATTTTTTTTGTTTGAGATACAAAGTATACAAGGTGTGATACAGTAATACTACAACTAAAAAGGTACTGTAATATTTGAAGGCTTTGAAAATACTTAACAAGTTTCTGAAAATGTGGCTGTATTTCAATGAAAGTCACTTACCTGCAACTTTTTTAGAAGCAGGAGCAGAAGCAGAGGGTGCTCCTTTACGAGCTGGTGCGCCGCTAGTAGCAGGGCGCTTCACAGGCTTTGGGGCAGTGCTTCCAGCCTGTGCAGGTGGTGAAGGTTCTTTCCCACGACTTGCTTTGGCTGGAGCTGTGCTGGGTCGCTCAGTAGGAGCCGACTTAGCAGGCTTAGCTACAATAACAGCTTTCTCACAGCACTCTCGAATCTAATCACAGAAAAATGAGAATCAGGAGGGTAGACAAAATAAAGAAGCTATAGAGCAAAAACTCAAACAGCGTACCTTGGCCATCTTCAAATTATCAACATCACTAACGAACGGCATGAGAGCTTTTTCACCGACCACTTTCAAAGCAGTTCCTAAAGCTTCTGCTGCATTGTCTCTGACAGACGGGTCTGAAATAAGCATGAAGTTTGGATAAGTAAATAGATCAAATGACAAAGAGCTCATGGAAAGAAAACACATAATCCAAAACTGACCTGGTTCATTTAAAGCTTTGATAAGTGCTGTAGAATAACTTTTCAGCAATTTCTTATTGAGCATGATAGCGGTGCATTTTGTAAAGCAACGAGCTAAAAATGCAGCAGTTTCTGCTTTAACAGACGGATTTTTGTTTTCAAGTGCTGCCAAAACATCCTCTTGAATATTTTCAATGGTAGTCTAAAATGGGAAAAAGTTCTCTTAGATGAACAACGAAATAAAAAACAAAACTTACAAATGAAAAAATTAGAACACTTGAAGTAAAAATTAATATTTATATTATATGAAGATTTAAAAAAAATAAAAATAAACAAATGCACTCACACTTAAGTACACCCCATCAATCGCATCTCGAATTGCCGCAACAACGGTAGCCTTCTTTTCCCTAAATTTCTCTAATAGAGCTGGAATGCAGGCAGAAGCATAAGGGGAAAACCGCTTCTTTAAGCCATTGGCTAAACTAGCCAGACATTTTCCAGCAACAGTTACAACAATAACATTTGAGTCCTTGGAAATGATCTAAAGGTGCAAGATATAACATTCTAAGTTAATAAAACACCTCTTTTCATAAGCCCCCTGACCCATCCAATGACTTACCTTCTTGAGAGCTCGCACCAAATCGCCATAGTCTCCACTTTCAAGTTTTGGTGACTTCTGAAGTAAAGAATCCAATTCATCTACAGCCTCTTTTCTCTCCTGCCACTTCTTAGCTTCAACCTTCTCATAAAACGAAGATGGTAGCTTAGATAAGATATCCACAGCAGGCATTATTTCATATGGATCTATTTCGACAGCAGCATCTGTATCATCTTCATCTTCCCCATCTTCACCCGCTTCGGCAGCCTCAGCAGCAGCTTTAGCCTGTTTGGCTTGCTGGGAACGCAGATACCGAGTTGGGGCTGCCTTTTCATCCTTGTTTTTTTCGAACTCTGCTTCTAGTTCTGTCACCTGGAACACATTGTAATAGGATATAAGACACTGCTCTCAACCAGCAAAACAAACACGAAGAGTCAAATGTTCAGCACTCTACCTGTAAAGGTTTTAAAGATGATAGTTGGGGCTTAAGTGCAGCTCCAATCCATCTGTGCATCTCAATAACCATAGCTTTGCCATTGTCACGGACAGTCTTGTCTCTGTCTTCAAGAAGTGCAGGCATCTTCTTAACCAGAGGTTTGATATTTATTACTTTTGGGCCAAACTCTCTAAAACATGAACATTTATTTATAACATAGAATTTGATTCAGGAAACATTAATTTGTGAGTTTTACTATACCTCAAAGACGTTGTGACAGCTGAAATACATTCTGATACTATTTTAGGATTCTTATGATCCATGCCCTTTATCAGTTCTTCCTGAACTGCCTCCTGCTTTTCAATTTCAACATACATAAGGACTATCTGGAGTGATAACTCTCTAGTTTTTGTTTTAGGAGCTGCAATACTCTTTGCCACAATACTTGCAACAACATCACTCGCAGTTCTGCAGAAATTAAAATCGTCAGAAAGATAGATACATACTATAAATAGTAAAGTACAAAGCAGAAGGAGACTTACTTTCCAGCTGAGCCGCAATTTTCCACAAAAGCTAAAGTTGCTTCCAAGCCTTTTTCTTGAGCCACTGCATTACTATCCACTACAAACTTTTTCACCAGCCCTAAAAACTTGTTCCACTCAGGAGATTTCTCGTCATCTATTTTATTAAAAAGTTTAACTGCCTCTTCATAACCGTTCATACGTGCTTTCCATAACTAAAGGAAAACATCAAGCAATTAGAATTTAAACAAAAAAACTCACACAACAAAGTTCATTTTCAAATACCACTTGGTAATTGGACAGATAAGATATGTCACTTGTGATATATATGTGTAGATATAAGTAAGTTTATGCAAGCAATTACCTTATGGACACAACGATCTTCAACAGGTAACTTCAAATATTCGGTGTCTTCCTCCATGATTACCTAATATCTAAAGAAGAAAAGTTGACATACATCAAATACAAAATAATTCGACAATGAGTCCAAAAAGATAGGTTAAATTTACTTGAAACCACATACAAGACAATCAAACACTCCCTGCTGACGACAAAAGTAATGAACAAAACAATAAGTGGAAATGAGTATTTTGGGTCTCCTTGACAATGTTTTTGTTTACTATTCATTGATTTCAATGGGTGAGTTGACACCCACATTAGTCATAGATTAAAAAAGCAAAAGGTCCATATGCTGGACAGGAAACCAACAATAATTTTGAAAATTTTCCTTAATTCGAGCTATGATGAATCACAACAGACCCTTAAAAAGCCAAACACAACAAAATTATCCCCAAAACAAAAACCATGACGTTTGCGCGGTAGGAAAGGCCCGTTCCCACTCACATCACAAAGTAGATAAACCAGTTGAGGTTCACACACGGTTTGAGTCAAAACGGAAAAAATCCGCTATTTAATACTTTTTGACAATGTAATTGAACATTAATCATAGATCCTTTAATCGGCTTGCACAACACACTTTCGTAAATCGATATGTTTCAAGTCAGATTCCCGTGATTCCAGTCGCCAGCCACAACCGAATGGAATCGTAACGCCCGATAGAACGTTGACTACAAGAAAGAAAAATTACTGCAGAGAAAGAAAAAATGTCACTTACTCTTTCTCACGAATACCGTCCAGAGTGCCAACGCTTCCTGTTAATTGATTAAACGCTTTCTTAAAAGTCTGACGGTTAGAAGTCGCACAATGAAGAAGGGCAAGAATGTGGGAGTTCAACAAAAAATAGTTGACGATCTGCAGCTGCTCTGCATCCCTCTGCGTGTTTGCCAGCCAAACGGAAGTTGTCAAACATGTCGTGTCGTACCTTACGCATATCTAGTGAGCACGGGTCAAAACCACTTGTAAAAGAAGTATTTTAAACATATCTCCATTGACTTAATAAGACTTAACTGAATGAACATCGCTTGAACATTTTCATCCAACTTTTGTAAGGTTGGTGTACTCGCGACTCAGGTAGCCAATCACAGCCCACGACCGATCAGGGCCTACACCAATGTGGGTGCCCAGCTGATCTCTCTCTCTGTGCTTGCTATATCCTCGCAAAAAACGACCGCGGTACACTCACTCTTCTAGAGAGACTCTCTACAGCTACACTCTTCGACCCGAGTTATCTTGAACATTTCCGTGCCTAACCGAAGCCACATTTGCTTCCTGGGGGCAGTATGGGAAAGGGGGTGAGGTGGGGGAGGGGAGGCTAAGGGCGAGCGCCGAGGGAGTAGGCAACTCATCCAACACGGAGAGAGTGAGGCAACAAGTTCCCACCCACTCGCACGCACGCATAGCACACGCTCCAGCGGCTGAAGTGGCTGCGTGGTAGGCAAACCCCTGCGCCACCCCCTCCCTCTCTCCTACCGAACATCTGTCTGTGGCGCTTTGTATGGTTGTATGGTTAGAGGAGGTATGGTGAATTGGGAAAGCCGAATTGCGAACGCAACGAGCGGGAGGGACTTCCCTGCTCGGCCCCCGTGCCCCATGGTGTCAGGAAATATGTTTAATATTAGTTCCGAAGTCTCGTTGTCGTCTTGTCAACATTGTGGCCCACCTCGGTGATGACCCAGTGGTAGCGGTAGCGGTCCCGCCCCACCCCTCAGCCCGATGTTTGGAAATGACGCTTGTGACCCGAGGGGCGTGGCGTGGCGTGGCGGAGCCTGGCGGGCCGGGGTCCAGCCCGGGGCCGGTTTGCCTCTTGGTCTCTGCAGCCCGCCCCGCCCGTTCGACCGTCGGGTATTGGAGTTGGAGATAGCCAGCAGAAGCTGCTTTGCTTGCCAGTGGTTCTCGGCTGCTGCTTTTGCCCTGCTGCCGCGACCATCTTGCAGACTACGGGAACGGACCGCTGTGCCTGCCAAGCGAAACGCCGCGCGCTCTGACAACACGCTGTATCCGAGGAAAAGAACGCTCTCCCAGCAACGAGCACTCTGATGGCGGTGAGTATCTCTCCGCAGCTCTGTGCTGTACAAACTGGTAGTTTAAGTCAGCCAATGACAGTCAACCGTCGCGTTCGTGCGACCTCCCATCCTTCAAGGAAACATGTCTGCCAAAGCTGCCGTACTTTTCGAAAGGTACTTGGCACTTTCCCTCCCATCGACTCGCGTCTGGAGCAGTCGTCTGTGGGCCAGATCCAGATGTCCAGTCTGAACGGTCTGAACCGTCTGAACTCCCCTCCCTCCGGCTCCCGTCCGGTCGGCCTCTCTACTCGGCGCATCCGCCCCACCGACCGCACCTGGCTGCATGGGGGAAGTTCGCCACTTCCATCCGGTGGGAGGGTAGGAGAGCGGCTTCAGGTGCACTCCGGCCGCTGCTGCACCTCACCGAGGTCCTCGGGCAGGTGTGTCCGAGGTGCGTCACCCCGCTCACGCCATGACAGACGAGGTGGCGTCAGTCAGACGGCCGCCGGTCAGCTGGGAGGAGAAGGAGGAGGAGGAGGAGGCCGAGGAGGTACTCGCCGCGGAGCAAGGACGGCTGGGGTCTCGTTGAGGGAGAGGGAGTGAGAGGAGGGGCGAGGCGGGCTCCACGCATGCGCGGGCTCGCTCGCGGGCGCCACTACCACGCACGTCGCGACTGCTGCCGCCGCTGCCTCCGCGGCTCCCCCACCCCACCCCCTCCCCTCGCGCAGCCCAGCCGCTGAGGTGGTCGCGGTCGCGGTCGCGGAGTGGCGTGAGTTGCTGTTTGGTGCTGTGTGGAGCCGGCTGCGCCCGGCCCGGCCGCGCTTGGGTCTCCCGCTGACTCAGTCGCTAGCAGACGAAACAGTTTTCCTTCTGGAAGTTGCGCTCGAGCTCCTCCTTGGCGCGCGTGCCTGCCGCTGCGGGCCGAGACCCTCCGTTGCACCGCGCCGTCCTCGGCCACCGCGCCGCGGGTCGAAGTGCGCCGAGATATCATCAGAGAGCGGAGCGCCGCTTGACAGACGACCGGCCGTGCTAACCTCACTTTCTGCCGGCGCTGACGGGACGGCCAGCCGCCAGGTGGTCCTGTTTGTGTTTCGCCTCGCGAGCAGACGATACTCGCCGAGCGCTGCCCGACGGCGTCCTGGACGGCGGCGACCTCCCCCCTGCCGCCCGCCCTGGGACCTGGACGCACCCGCGCGTCCCGGGGGTTGCGCAAGAGGAAGACTGCCTTTGTTTTCATTCGGCAGGACCGGATTGCCTGCCGTCGAACAAAGGACTTATCGGTGCGGGCTCTTTTCCTCCTGGATGTGACACCTCGCGCCGTGGACAAGTGAATGTGGCGTGCAAACGACGTGACTTCGAAGAAACAGTGTTTGTGTGAAACTGTCAAAGTTATTTGTACTGAGAGTGGTTGATTACAAAAGTGACAGTGAAGTGACAGTGCAGTTGCATCATACCTGAGTGATCAACGTGAAAGTGGCTCGACAGTGATACAATGTTTATTTAATGTGATTGTACCAAAATCCACAAGGAAAATGGGTTGGTATAAAAAAGTGTGGAGAGAGGAGCTCCTGCAGCTGGTCCTCATTCTTGGTCTGCTAGGAGTAGACCGAGATTTGTACCGAAGGACCAATGATTTTCACCCTGTACGGATCGGTATTGATGATGTGGGTGGTGGAGTACGGATTGAACAGTTCAACAACCCCCTCAACAACCGAATTGAACGGCTGCACCCTAAAAGTCTGGACTCTGTGCTCTTGAACTATGAAAGAGACTTGCTCGAAGACTTGAACGCCTTGGGGAGATACAACAGAATAGAGCCTCTGAACCACAATGTAACTGCTTATGTCCTCAATGTGGATGTCGGGAGCGTACGACTGGGTGCTCTTAGTTCTGCTGGGAGTTCAGAGCCTGCTGAACCAACATCTACAGAGGCATCACCACCAGGATCGGAGCTGACTCAGGAGGTAAAGTATACATTTCCTAATTTTTTGACTGGTATCAACAAGGTCTAGAATACTTTTAGTGCAGTTCTCATCCTCATACAAGATGTGCTTAATTTAAAATGTATATTATGTCTACTCATTATGCCATGAGAGACAAAAATTTCTCTTCGTGTTTGATCGCATTGTCTTTGGTGTAGTGACACCCATCTTTGTGGTGACGAGTGACCTTCAAGTCTCAAACCAAATTCAGCTTCAGGCAAAGTGTCGAAACAATCAAACCAATATTTTGGGGAAGTTGGGAGTTGAGTGGTAGAAAGTGGAAGGTGGAGGTGGACTGCTGGTGCGGTATGACGACCGTAGGTGTGTGTGTAAAGGGGGG